CACAGTACTCCCCTGCCTAAATGTATACCTGCCTTCCAGCTTCAAAGTGAGCAGGAGTTCAAGGGCAAGTCACTGTCGTGGTGTCTCCCCTCCCACCGGCCAGCCCCCCACAAGGAAAGGAGACAGGCAGGAGGAAGAGCCCAAGTTTGTGCTTTACCCGCTTCAAATTCTGAGCATTTAATCGTCCCGAAAGCTCCCGGCCTGGTGGAATGTGGTGACTCAGGTGCTGGGGAGCCGGGCGGGCGGGGGGACAACACCTGCTCTGTGCGGAGACACGCCCAGGAGAGAGAGAGGTGGCCGCCTTCCCTTTGGAGTCCCACACCCCCTGCGTGGAGCTGTCCCAACAGCAACTCCTAAAAGGGAAGGGAGCCCAGACGCTAGGAAAGTAACCTGGAGATTATAAATTCAAGGAGGTACTAGCAGATAGTAGAGGGAGGGAATGAACAGATGACTTTTAAGAGCTTCCTCCTCAGGCAAACTTTTCCAATTGCTACCTGTAACACCTTCTCCTGGGCATGTCTATCATTAATGGATAGGAAGCATTATTGTTATTATTTTTAATCTTGATAGGAAAGCTGGGTTTTGTCTGTTCCTCATCCAGTATCTATCCTCCTTCCTCCTCAATAGAGAAATGGCCCATTTTCTTGATACACACATACACACAAAATATTGATCATGATATGGACATAACCAAAAATGAAATACGTTCAAGTCAGAAAGGGCTTTAAAACCCACTATTTTCAGCGATGCTTTTTTAAAAATTAGATTGGTTTTCATACACATTCCAATGAAAACATCTACTTAGTTTTTTCTAGGCTAGGATTAATACAGTTTACAATTTCCACTTGTTAAAGTTGGAAGCAGGTTATATTCAAAGGAGTGTGGTGAAGGAAAAATGTTTTCTCAGGCATGGAGGAAATACCTTTAAAAGCCACTTGTAAGTTTTCCTTTCCAAAGCAAGTAATTGAAAAGCTACTTATGGTGATTGGGTATAGTTTCATATTTAGAAGGTTTTTAGATTGCAAATTGGAAAAACCAGACACTAACTTCTAAGTAATGCCAATGATTTTAATAAAGGGTAAAGAAATTACACTTAAAAAAAAAGGAGGATATTTTTAGTGAATTCAGTTGATCCCATCTAGCTTAGACAGTATTTCTATGTGCTATAATTATTATACTTCCACAGACATTTACATAAAAAGAACTTGGACCTTGTGAAATAGCGTAAGTGGGACTCCTATTTGTTTAAGACAATAAAGTTGGAACAGGGGGCAGGGAGGGTTCTGCTAAGCCCTGGTCCTTGCTCGAGAAAGCCTGGAAGGGGTCCAAAAAAATTCTTCTAATGGTCATTAGCCTGCCTTTTTTCCTACTAAGCAGCTCCTAAAAAGAAAATTCTTTTCACCTGCAATCTGTCAAAACCAACAGAAAAAGAAGCCAGGAAGGACATCCCATGGCAGCCCTGAGGCGGCTGTCTGGGCATGGGGAACAAAAGCTTCCCCTCATGGCAACTGTTGGTCAAAAATATTTAGATTAACTATAACCAGCATGATGGAAATCAGCTTAAATAGCAGGGGGAGGTCTGGGAATTTTTAAGGATGTGTTCGAAACTTCCCTTCAATGCCCTAAATACAATGTGCTAATAATGCACAAGGAATGAACTCCAGTCTGAGCCCTAAATGGGAGCCCATAGCAACCCAAAGCTTGCAAGGCCATGACAGCTGTGTGCACTTCAGATCAGCCCAACCCCAAAACCCTTGGCCACTCCAACCCGAGCCTGTGGGTAGACAAATCCTAAACAACTTAAAATGGAAAATTAAATGGAAAGCCTCTTCGTCCCTTCTCCAGGCCCTGTGTAACTTGGAACATGGATCCTACCCAGCCCTGCCACAAGTAGCTGTCAGGCCTTCCAAGGCAGAGAGCTACGGCATCTCACCGTCACCTCTGTCCACTAGGATCGCTGCGTTCTCTGTATAAATGCTTAAGATGCCCAAAGGCTGCCATTCTCAGGCTGCCCCTTATAAAAACAGGCATCTTCTTCAGGCAGAAAAAAAGCACACCCGCAACCCCCAGCAATCAGAGCCACAGCTGAGACACAGCCACCGCCCCCTGAAGAAGCAATGGAACGTGCAATTCCTGCACTGACGCAGAAGGAAGCTCTTTCCCTCCGCTCGGCCCCTCCACTCCTGCCTCTACAAAGAGTCGTGGCTACAGTCTGCCCAGAGAGGAAATAGTTGCTGTTTGCCCTTCTCCGCCCTACCACACCTCCAATGTGTCCCTTGGCAACAGATTCTAATTCTGCAGATCACAGAAGGAGAGAGAACAGAGGAACACTGTCACCAGCAGTGTTTGCCTCTCAGCCACCTACAGTCCTTGCCTTCTGCAGGAGATCACCTAAGCAGCATGAGGCACCACCTCCAGAAACTGGGGGTCTTCTATAAAAAAGGGATACTAATCACTTCTTACTTCTTCCTGCTTTCATCTCAGACATCTTCATTTTTCATGTTCAGCTACATAAAGGGAGCATGTTGACTTGAGCCAATGAAGGAAGGACAGCCTCAATGACGTGAACTGTGTCATTTAGTGACAAGTCACAGCTTAAAATGCAGATGGCATTAAAAGATTTGATCATGCCAACTTGGAACGGAAATCCTGCACAGCTTCTTTAGAAGCCAACTAAACATTCCTTCCTTCAATGCAGTTTGGTAGTAGCAAAATTCTCTTCCCTTGATTTCTCATTCTCAATACCATGCTAGGAGCCCAGTCGATGGCTAGAATAATAGAGATGACATCCTGCTCCATATGGAGACAAAAGTAATTAATAAAAGGAGAGTAAGTAAACTGAAGGAACATAGTGTGATGCTATGGAAAGCAGGTCATGGGGGACTAGCCTGACTGAGACTGGGTGGGACTGCATTGACTCAAGTACTCATCAAGAGCCTCCATATTCCTGCAGCTTTCACTAACAATACAGAAAAGCAAACCAGCAACTTTTCTTTCCCTTCATTAGGACACGTTTTAAATGGCAGCACTATATCTCCACAAGAGAGCGAAAGAGGCAGAAAGGAATGAATGAATGAATGAATGCAAGGAGGGTCATTTTCTGTTACGGAAAAGTATCTGTCAAAATAACAAACTGGCTTAGTTAAAATCAGAGGCATGGAATGCCAATGCCAGAACACACAAAGAAAAGGAAAAAGCTGTCAAAAACGTCTACAGCATTGGCCAACTCACAGAAGGAAGACTAACTCTGTGGAGGAGGAAAAGTTTCTGAAGAATGAAGAATGCCACAGAGAAAGTCATCTGGTTATCACAGACTCAATACCGGACATCTGTCACTGATGGGAAGCTCAGAGAGAGACAGGGCACCGGAACAGAAGCCGCGTCGGGAAAAATCAGCATTGGACTGTCCAGCAGGTGGGGAAGCAGAGAGGGATGAGAATGGGCAATAAGAGAATAAGCTCACTGGAAGGGCTTGAAGCTGAGCGAAGAGAATTTAAATTTGCTGCAGAAACCTCAAGCCACCATTCACATGAAATGTCCGGAATAAACTAATCTAGAGAGACAGCAAGCGGATACTGGTTGTGTAGGGCTGGGATGTGGAGGGAAAGGAGGTGTGACCTCTGTAGGTTTAGGGTTTCTTTTGGGGGTGGTGAAAATGCTGAGATCCAATTGTGGTGATGGTTGTACAACTCCGAAATCTACCAAAAACCTTCTAATGGTTTGTATGGGTGAGTATTTTGGTATATGAATTGTATCTCAATAAAACAATTAAAACTGAACAAAACAAAAAGCCACTGAGGGCAAGTGAAAACTGAGGGCAGCAACTGCCTGCCTTATGCTGAGGGCCCCTCACAAAGCCACGGTGAGCTCCACCCCAGGGAGCCCACAGTCCAGTCCCAGCACACCACAGGCCTCCCGGGGCAATCTCCAGAATGCAGACTGGATGACCCTGCAACGTTTTTCAAATTACACTCGAAAGAAATTGCAGGGGACTGAACAAAATATGGAGTTCTAAGGTTCTTTTGATGACATATCAGTGTGGAATTCAGTGGGATTCAGTCCATTAATAAAATGTAAAATATTCTTCAGAGACGTGTATAAATCAGCAAAAGGGAAGGAGCAGACTGGTTCGGCAGAGCACGAATGTTAATCAGCAGCACAACTGCAGAGCAGAGGAGGGCCTGAGCAAGCTGCCCGGTGGGCCCACACACCTGTTACCAGAAAGGCACCGAGCAGGAGGCCTGAGACGCACAGACACCCAGACCCACCTGCAGAAACGGAAATGCGCTCTGTCTGGGAATGGGGTATAAGAATAGGGGCTCTTAAATGCCCTCATTGATTCCAATACACACCTGAGACTAGAAACTACTGAACGAATCAGAATCTTTAATCTGTTATATAAAGATGTGTGTAAAGAACTCAAATGTTGCTTAAGTCACAAGGTAAGCACGACTAAGAGTCAGGACTGGAATCTGCGTGTCTTCACCTTCAGTTCAAGATAACCCTATCTGCTGTGTGGCTGTGGGTGTACAGGGGCATCCTTAGAAAATCCTGGCCTCACAATAGTGGTCAGCTCCCACTGTAAGACAGTAAAGAACACACACCTAGAAATACGTTGGGGGCTACATGGCCTTGCACTAGGCTGGGAAACTTCTTAATATGCAGAGATGTCGTTCCCCTTCTCTGTGCCCTGGTGGGAGCCGCCACAGACAAAATGAACTGGTGAGGAGGGAAGATTTGTGTAACTTCGCAGGCCAGATCTGATCTGGAAAATTTTTTCCCAAATAAGACCAATGTTATAAAATAAACACCAAGGAATATAAAAAGCCGATGCTTGGTTCTCTCAGCTGTACTAGGAACCAGTGATGTCTGCAAAGAACCGGGCGGGCCCTGGCCGAGTGACCTTCACAGCCCATGTTAAACCCTTTGAAGAAGTGCCTGGTGAGCGCTCTGGCTGACGCGCACCGCGCCGTTCCATTACTGAGCAGGGTGCCTCTTACCTATAATTCCACTGTCCTTGCTTTCCAGGGTGGAACTAGGGCTGCTAATGGTCTCACAGGGACTTTGCTTGGCTGCCGTCTTGCTGACACAGCTATTCAGGGTTGAGCAGGGGCTATCGGTGCTGGGAGACGCCGAGCTGCTTGTGAGTGTGGAGCAAGGGCTGATGCCTTGGCTCGGAGCTGTGCACTGCAAGACGGACAGAAGGAGGCATTAGCACGGCTTCACGCAGAACGCTTCCACACATCTCGTTTTTGAGGCTGAAACAATAAAACTAGAAACAGGGAAATGGAAAACAGCTTCTATATTCTAGGGAGCTTAATATATGTATGATCTTCCAAATTATATAAGAGAAACATCCTCATTCTGCTCCCCTCCCTTTGGTTTTGTTTTTAATAGGGCAGTCTTAGAAATAATTCAGTGGGAATGCACATTTGCAAAACAGAAACAACAAACAGGCAGACTTCCTTTCATTTAAAGGCTACAGAAGACAAATGAGTTCTTTGACCTCTGTGCAGAAAATCTGGGAACTCTGTTCTCGTGATGTTTCACAAGCACTGATACCTTGATCTAATTCCTGAAGATTTACGGGCCCTGCGGTCACGGGGAGACGGGTGGCCACTGCAGTCTCAATCAATGCGTGACACCCGCACAGGGGCTAGAAGCTCCGGCCCCTCATTGCTATTCAGACGTCCACATCTCATCTCAGAGGCAGCAGGCTGCTGTTGCCCAGGATGGGGAGTGCTCTCCCCCAGATCAACCATTTGGGCTCATCTTATTTTGTCTCTGCCTCATCGCCTACAAATCGTATTCTCACCCCACTGACCATCCAAAATCTCAACTGCTAAAAATGCACAGGAAAGCATATACTGAAGCAGCCGGATGGGAAGGATGGTGCTCTAAAGATACAAATGCTATCATTGCTAAGGAATTCTTTCAGCTACTTTCATGCATTTAGCTACTCTCCCCCAGGGCATTAACTAGAAGGTTAATGGGGAACCTTTCCTTAAGCTCCGTATCCTGCTTTTCCCCACCTCTGCACTGCAAAACTCCACAAACTGCAGAAATACATTTCAAAACACAACAGCCCAGATGCATTTGACTGAACAAGGACTGCCCCACTCAGGAGAAGGGGAAGAAGGTTGTCCCTTCATTCATCCTCCGAGCAGGTATGACCGGCAGTGTCTTTCACGGGCATTACCATGGTTTCATTTTTTTCTTCAATGGTTATGTGTGTGGCGCTTGGGATCCCTTCTCCCAGTAAAAATCCCAACCTCGTCAACAGTTCTTGAGCTGCCGGTGAACAGCTCGGTTCATTATCAGCCTTTGCTTCTGGAACAAAGAAAGAGAACAATGAGGCTGCCTCTCTGGGGAACTGCATAACAGCTGGCATCTGGAGGAGTGGACACCACGGTTGCTTCTCGGCTGCCTCTGTGTAATCATAAAATGCACAAAGTCTGACCACACTGCCTGTCCTGCAGCAATACATCCTAATCAAGAGGCTGTGACAGGTTAAGAGAACAGGTAAAGAAGAACTCCAACTGCAAAAGGTGAAATATTTGACCTGAATCAGAGGAACACAGTGCCACTACCTGATAGCAATTGAAAAGCAGGTACTTCAGACACCAAAGGTAGAAAAAGGCCCACCCTTCATCTTACTCTTCATGAGCACACGGGGGCCAATACCCACAAGAGGCTAAAATAAAGCAAAACCCAAGGGGACGCTGGCAGAGACCCAGGCTACTTAGACGCTGGGGTCATCCTGAAACTATGCCCACTAAATGCGACAAGGGCAAGACAGCTTCAGGAAGCCTTGCTGTGCCTACCTCGCAGCAGGCAAAGTCAAAACCATGAGTCCAACCAAAGGTCAATCACCAGGAATCCATGTTGAAACACAGATTTTAAACCCCAGTGAAATGCATCCCAAGAGATGGGACTCAGTAACACGGAGATGTAGAGTAGGCGGGCGAGTCCTCTGTGTACTCACGGAAACGCGGAGGCACGCTCACCTGGGAGCCACAGGCCGTGCTAGGAGGCCCTCTTCCTCAGGTCTCCCTAGCGCTGCTCACCGGGCTTTGCTTACATAAGACAATTTTATTACTGGATTTTATTTAAATGTTGAGCTGTAGGCTAACCTTGTTTTCAAAAGCCTAATGGAATGTCATAGTGGTTGACAAAATGATAGTCACATCATTCTAACACCTCTTCTATATTTTAAAATCAGCATCCATCAGGGAATGAGATAATGTATAAGGCGAGCTGGGCTCATGGAAGTTAGAACTTAAGAACAATATGTAACCTCTAATAGGATCACTTATCTTAACGCTTTGTCTTCTTCATTAATCATCTAGGCGCCTAGCCCATACATTCATGAACCAATTTTCCCCAGATGTGAAAATCTGCAGATCATAGATAATAGCTCTTAGAAAAACAAAATGAGGAAAGAACAAAACTGTTCCCTTTGAGCGACAATACCACAAAGTTCATTGCTAACTTTGCCCTTTTTAAGGCACCATCTGCATTACCCTCCCTCAAACATCACTTTGCTAAGTCATGCTCCCGGGGTGGCAACTCCAAGGGAAACAAGGGCTAGCTGTATCTTCAAGGAAGGAAAAGCACCCCACCCCTTGCTTGCTCTTAAAAGCTCCCAATGTTTGGGGTAAGAAGAAGGGCTGTTTGCCAGCTTGGATGTTTTTTTGGTTGCTCAAGAAAATGCTGCGGTAAAATAGCCAAGGCTTGATTGTTCTGGGTTAAGAGAACAATCTGATGTTTCTGGATCATTTCAGTTAAACTCACAACATGAAGGGGCGGTAGCCCCAAACCAGAACGGACAGGGTAGCCACCCCCGGGCAGGTCAACCACACCCTCAGTCGTTTCTACACAAGGTGTTCCCACCAGAGATCTCTAACCACATTTGGATTCTCAAGGTACACAGGCATTTGGGAAAGGAAGGCAGGAACCACACCAAATCAGCACAACCCAGGCACACCCAAGGGCCGAGCCACTGCGGAACAGGATCCGTCCCGCCTCCCTGGCCCCAAGGCACCAGCAGGGCAGCCACTTTATCTTGGGTGGCAGCTGAACCAGGAGAGAACAGGATGCAGATGGTGAGGGAAGAAATGGGTGAGGGGGCAGACCTCAGCAGTTCCTCTCTGCCACGCCCCCTTTCCCTCTGAAACAATCTCTATACTGGTAGGCAACTGCGACCGTGCCCCAGAACGTCTAGCTTCTGGTTCAACCTGAAACACCGGGGAAAGAGCCAGGACCAACCCCAGCTGGCAGCAGCTGTAGAGGCAGAGAGCAGCTGCACAGGCCTGGCTAGCACAAAATTCACCCCTCGACAAGCAAGGCCGCAGCCTCTGGCTCACCTGGGGGTCGTTCAGACCCTGCATCCTGCCTAGGTCCTGCCTCAGGGGGAGGGAGCGAGTGGGCAGGGGCAGACCTTGCTGCCTGCACATTGTGTCTGCAGGCAGACACCCCAGACTGACAAGACTTTCATTAAGAAAAAATATGTATATATCCAAAGACAACTAGTCATCCAAACCTCCCCGCTTCAGCCAAGTTGGGAGCAGCAGCAATTCCAGGTTTAACATCTGAATCGACAAGGAACTCCCAATTTCATGATTAACTTGTTCTCTTAACTTTTCAACTGGGACTTTGCTGCTACCAATGTTCCAAACCCCTACTGGGCTCCGGATGAACGAACGGATGCTCTTTATTCCAGCTTTTGCTCCCATTAAGCCCCACTGTAATTTTACTTCTTGCAAAAGCTTCCCAGCTGTCTTTTCATATTATTCTCTCTTCTAAATTGTCATCCTGGTGACCTTCCCCTCAGAAGCCTTCTGCCACCTGAATTCCTTAATCCACATCAAGTGGTCCACATCCTGCCTTTCCTAAATGCACAGCGCCTTCTCTCCCTGTACTTTCATTCTAGCCGTAGGACCCCTGGGTGGAGTGTGACAGTGCCATTTGGGGAGAGATGAGCCGCCTGGGAACTCACACTGCTAATGCTCAACTGTAAAATGGAAATGCACTTCTTCCTCCATAGTCAGTCACCAAATATTGAGATTTGAGCAGTCAGAGAGGATTTTCTTCAAGCTAATTCTTACTCCAAAATGACCCCCAAACCAAAACCCACAGGACACTCTAAATGGTGAGTCTATTTTTCATTCATGTAGTTAATATTAAATCACTCATCAATAATTGGTGTACCTTACTCAGTACCAGTGGGATAAGAGCTGGAGAGAAAGATCTCATCTCTTAGCAACACTTCACATCTCACTGATTAAACTATCCGACGCATTTATGATGACTGTATTCGGAATTGAGCCTCACACTCCCTAGAAATCCCTTAGGCAGTGGAAGAATATTCCTCCCGATGATGTTTTCACGGATGATATCAAACCATTGTGAAATAATCACATGGAGGAAGGCATAGGGAATTTCTTGGATCACTTCCTGCCTGTCTTTTTTAACTGTACTCTTTTAACAATTTAGAAGAGAGAATAATATGAAAAGACAGCTGGGAATTCATACCTGTTGGACCACGTTTGGGCACCAACATTCAGATACAGTCTGTAAACTGCACCCCAATCACTGCCACCAGAACTTCAAACTTGCTGTGCCCCGTATAGTCACCCATCTCGCCTATAGTCTCAGAAGAAAGGACTTCTCCACGCTTCCACTATTGTGAACTACTTACACAGCGTGAACCTTTCTAAACTCTACTCCCTCATCAGGGAAGTGGCCATAACCCACTTATAGGGGGCACATGCACAGCTCCAAAAAATTTGAGAAACAGCTTGCAAGGCAAACATCTTCGAAACAAGATGCTATATGAAAGTTGGTCATTATTTCTACCAACTTCAACACCAAGAGTCCACCCTCTCACAATTATTTCATTTTCTGGTTTCATGGATATCTATATTCAATGTGCTTATATTTCTCCTACCTTAAAAAAGAAGTTTTGTTTCTAATCTTTCTGCCTTACTATTTTCTGAACTCCCTATTCTTTGAAGGTAACAAATCCCCTCATTTCTCTGATTATCAAACTGTTCCAACGTGCTGCTTTCATGTTCCATCTAATCATTCCCTCTTCTTAAAGCCAGGCTATTAGAACCATGGAGGTTCTTGGAGAGTACCAAGGATCATTCCATCAAGAGAAGCCTGTCTCCATTCTCACCCTCCTCAGACTTTAGAGCTCTGGGCAGTGTTGACAATGTTCAGCCATTCACGAGCATGTGATCTTGACTTAGTATCAGCTCCCAAGACAGTACTTCTGAATCATGTCTGCTAAATGAGACACGGCCTTGACTGATGTTATTAAACCCTTCTTCTGTCTCTACCCTATCGATGACCTGCTTCCCATTAAGACTCTTGCCTTCCTTGCCTTCTATTTGCAAGCATTTTCCTGTTTCTGGCTGTTCCTTCTCCTAAACCATCACTGTCCTCTCCTCCTTGAATCTCCAAGTTATCTTTACACTTTTAATCTCACCCCATACTTCTTTCAAAATGTCTTCAGTTACACTGCCACTTGTGTCTGAATCCTCTTTGCCCCAAGTCTACATGATGACAATCAGACTCTGGATCAATTTTCTCACCTTTTTTCATTCTCTCCTTTGCTTCTTTTCCTTCTCTGAAAGCCAGTGGTTCTCAAATTTTTGTTCTCAGAGCTCATTCTTAAAAACTGAGGATTGCAAAGAGCTTTGGCTTATATAGGTTATATCTATTAATATTTACCGTATTAGAAATTAAAATGAATTTTAAAAATCTATATAATTCATTTTAAGTTAATGAGACTTATTACATGTTAAATAATCCATTTTCAATTTAAAAGGCTAGTTGAGAATGGCATTGTTTTATATTTTTGCAAATTATTTTTAATGTCTGGTTTAACAGAAGACAGCTGGACTTTCATGTCTACTTCTGCATTCAATCTGTTATGATCTGTTCTTTTGGTTTAAGCATGTGAAAAATTGTGGCCTCAAATAGGTATGTAGTTGGGAAAGGGGGAAGCTTTTTCATTAATTACAGATATTCTTTTTTGATACCTCACCAGAAATTGACAAGCAGCAATTTCTTAAAGGTTAGTTCCAGTGGACTCTGAATCCCTATCAATGAACTTTTGTACCCTCTTACAGTAGAATCCAATGGTCTATTACAGGTTTCAAATGGTTTCTTACCCATGTAAGATTTTGTAACATCTTGCTCTGGACCATTAGGAAAATACTGGTTTTGCAGACCTTGCAAAAGTAATTAAACATTTTATTATCCAATATCAAAATATCACATTCAATAATATCACCACAGATCTCATCTTTAAAAGTCCTGGA